TCAGGAATGCTTTGGAACGTCTGGTGACAAATTGATTTCAGTGTTAGAAGAAAGGTTGACGAGAGTATTTCACCCGGTAGATAAATATTTACAGGGAAATTTAAAAAAAAACAGTTTGAAATAACAAGACTGTAGACAGGATAATTGATCACGCGTCTTATTAGATACACACATTTTTCTCTTGGTACACTCAACGCTGTAGTCTAGACGATGGATTGCTTCTTTGAGCCTTTTTTGGTTTCAGTTTTGAAAATGCTTCACCTCTAAATGTAACTTTTATTTATTTCTACTCGTACTTATCTAAAAAACAGTTTTTCTGACCAGACTTCAAGTCAACAGGATTACGTAATTATTAACATTAACTCGTGAACAAAATAGAAGACTATTCAGCGAAGAAAATTCTCTTTATCAACGATGTTATCATCAAAGGCTGTACATTCTATCGTATTTCTATTTGCCAAAAATATGTAGTAGTCCACTATTGAGTAATAGGATATGTGTATGTCTGCATACGACGTAATTGATACCGTTATCCAGGAGTGCATAAAAAAATTTAAAAAAATAACGTAATAGCCAGCGCCACAATGAAAGTGAAGGTCTGAAATTTGATAAGGTAAAACTTATCATCAAATGAGAAACAAGATGGATGAGTTTCCACTTGACAAGTGTGCAGATGACAGTGAATTTAGTCGTCAAAAGTAGAAGCGTACGAGTAGGAAACTGGTTGTGACACTAGTAGAATAAGAGACTGAACAGACCTTTTCCTCACAGTGTTTGAGGTTATAGTGAAGAATCTCTAGTGCCTCTACCATACACAAATGCCGAAGTCTAACATCTCGGTTTCTGCTTACAGAACATTTTAAGTGACTAAGTCTCAGGTTGACATGTCGACTTTTTATGCAGATGCTTCGACGATGTCTGGGCATGTAATGACCCGTTGCACAAGAGGTGGCTCTCGTGGCCCAAGTGGTCTAGTGGATGACGCTTTGGCGTTTGAAACTATGGGCACTGGGTTCGAGCCTCGGTGGGAACATCATCACTCACTGAGAAATGCAGGTACATCCAGCTGACGAGTCCCACTTAGGACGAAATGCGCTTTATCCTGGATTCCACTGCTAGTCACTATCAACCAATTAATTTTAAATGACAACTGTAGTACAGTTGCTTGGCCTGAGTTTATTAGATGCCCCCTTGATAATCATGCCGTGTAGTGTTCAGAAATGGCTATTTGGAAATTGTGCATCTTGTGTGGCCAATACAGTCAGTTCAACAAAAGCAAGTGGATTTATAAATAGTCACTGATATGGCCCAAAGCCGCCGTTTGTCCTTTGAAGATGATTTCATCGTTAGAAAATTTTTCCCGCTAAATTACATTTTTTTTTCTCAGTTATGATCAACTGCTGCTAAGTCTCACTGAAGCGATTGCCATCAAACCAATAGAAACTGAATTCACGCATTCAGAAGGAAACCAACGTTGTTAATCTTACCTTACTACTACTATAAGTTATTTTTCAATTATATTCTATGTTTTGACAATGTAATTCCTTATTCTTTATTTTGTGTTTATCTATACTCCTGACTAGACTGTTTTCTGACCTCTTCTACTAAATTATTTAACCGCTAAGTAAATATGCCATTGATTTTACACATCTTTTCACCCAACATTAGAATTCGTACAAGTTAATTTTAAATTTAGCATTCACTGATTGAGCGGAAATGCTCGGTCTCTGTATTGACACGTCGGCTCCTAGTACGGACGCTACGATGAAGCCTTGAGGTTAACGTGATGTCATTCTGTCAGCCACTCTCAGCAGCAGTAAGGTGTCTCCCTCAGATTATTGACAAAACAACCACATTGACTCTCCTCTCTGGAGCTGTGCGGTTATGAAAGTTTGACTCCGACATTTATACATCCTGACATGCATTGAGGCGGCCCGTAGCCGGAGGTAATATCTTAATACGGCTACAACTCGAAAAACCACTTCAAATAGGCAGCACGCGTGTCTGGCTTCATGAAGTTATCCTCTCAGCTCTGTGGCCATGGGACACTAATTCTGTTTCTATTTCAGGTTATCCAAGAAGGAATCAACTTCCCCACTGTAAGGAACCGTGAAGTAATAACCTACCAAACACTTTTATAAGCATTCAAAGAGCCATGTTGGCTTAAAGGTATCGTTCGGGGGTTCTTATCAGAAGCCAACACGTGAACAGAAACTATAAGATCTAAAAATAATAATTTCAACAAATGAAGACTGATACCCACTACATTACATAAGAGGTGACTCTTATGACCAGGTGGTTTAGTGGATTACGCTTTGGTGTTTGAGACGATGGACGATGAGCCAGCTTTTCGGTGAGAATACAGGCAAGCACATTCAGCCGAGAAGCCTCAAACAGGACGAAGCGATGCGTCCTAGATTACACTGTTAGTCACCATCAATGAGATATCACTATCATATTGTGTACTTTTTAAAGCTTAAAATCTCTTTGCTGAAGGTGAATTTTCAATATGCGGAAAAATTCTCATTTAGATATGAAAACAAGGACAAATACCGGACAGCTGTTTTATCCTAGTTTGGACTCTTCACTGTGAGCACCCACCATGGTTTGAACCGAGGACCTTTCAGTTACAGAGAACATTAAGCCACTGGCGCCCAACTCAGTCGCCCATGAATTCTAATTTCAATCAATCTGTGGTTTTAACGTGACCACCAGGCAGTGTCATCGGTGAGTATTTATCTTCACACTCCACGACCTGCTGTAGCCCACTGGTCTCGAATTCTCACTAGAACCCAGGTAGCTGCCTAGCTGAATAGGACCAGTTGCTAGTGAACATCAGATTTATAATCAAATACTCGCCAGTGGTCACGCTTTATCGTAATTGGTAGAATTCGGTATTCATGGGCCATTGGATCGGGTCCCAGTGACTGGCTGGTCTACGACCTCGCCTTGTAACTGGTAGGTCCTCAGTTTGAAACCCGGTGGGTGCGTGGAACTCAAGGGTTCAAACTTGGACGAAACAGGTGTCCAGTATTCCTGGGATTTCCAGTGGTTTTTTTAAACTCAACGTCAGCTTATGATGAAATCCCGTAACCAGTGAAATCCCTGCAAACCAACACTTCAGTAGGGATAAACAGTTCACCAAATGAGAATCTTTTGAACGACTTCATTCACTTGACCATATAACCACAATGATTTATATTTTCAATTGTCAGTTTCCTGGGATTTGATTTGATTTCAAGTTATATGACAAACTGAAATCAGTTAAGGAACCGCTGGGAACAACTGTCCAGTACTACTGCATAGTTTTTAATGGCTCTGTAACTGATGTCAACTCAAGATGTATTTTCAAACAGTTATATATATATATATATATATATATAATTGTTTTTATGTGTGTATGCACTCAAAGGAGACTCATACATACACTCAAAACACCTTTAACATAATTTGAAGCACAATTATTATCAATATCTTGTTATATTATCAATATTTTTCCCTTTTTTCTTTTCTTATCGTGAGTTTACTCTGTTACGTAATATGACTTGATATTAAGCCCCCTGGTCATTCTAGCAAAGCTTAATTTAAACATTTACAATAAGCCTATCTACACTAAGCTTATCTTGTCTCTACTATTTGATTACAATTTACTGTATGACCCACTATATATTATCATTATATTTGTTATTTATCATCCTTTGAACTTACATTCAGTCTGGCTCATTTTTTGTGGTATTCAAATTTTAAAGTATTGGTTTTGTAGGAAGTTTGCAGGATATTCATATTTCTCTGACTCCATTGAATATAACTCATCCCTCATCCTGAAACTTCCACTTTTGTTGATTGTAAATACGCATTTAATTGGTAATCTTAACCAACGGATTATTGTCCAGTCTTATACTTGTATCCTAATACGGTTTCTCACATTTGATTCTCTAGACATCTTTTCGTTGTATTATGCAACGTATAATCTATGGCCAATAGTCTTCACACCTTTAGGTAGATTTTGATTAATGTTCACAGTTCAGAAATACTTTGATAATGTCAACGATATTTCAAACTGATTCCTTTCATTTTGCTACCTATAAATGGTGGTTACCTTACCATGGTGATAACATTTATTATCATCATTATCACTTTTATATTCCGTCTCTTATTACTATTATCATGTGTTGGTGGTGTAGAGGTAGAATGCTCACCTACCATATATGTGGTTCAAGGCTTCATTTCCAGCTTACACTCCCCTACACCTCCTATAACCAGAAGTAAGTCCGGTAAAGAAAGAAGGTTAGTCGTGAGGCTAGCACATCCGGCCCACAAAAAAGAATGATGCGACTGCTACTGAAACTTAAAAGCTCGAAATTTGAGGCCTATGCCAAGCTCAGAACTCAGAGGAGTAAAATAATAAATAATAACTGCTATCGTTAGTATTATTTCTATTATATTTAGTCTGCAATTCCTGACATTTTCTAGTTCTTTCTTTGATAACTAATTGATCATTATAATGATGTAAATGAAACATAATCTAGTACAATAAACTCAGTTTATTTGTGAGTTACATATTTTCCCATGTATTTTTAATAGTATACCCTGTATGAAGAATACTCATCTGAAGAGATCTATTGGAATTTCATGGATTTATTAAATCCTGCTTTATGAACAACATTTATTGATTGTCTTAAGTCTATATCGGGAAATAAATGTTAGTGGTTTGTTGGCAAAAGTCTTTGATTGTACACTGCGCCCTTGGTTGCCTAAACTTGTCTATAATTTTAAGGTAACCTTTTTTTCTCCTCATAAAATTAGGATCTCTTTGTCTCTCTCTCTGTCTACCTCATTGTCGAATACAGAAACTCTTTAATACAAATGGTAATCAATTCATAGCTGACGTGTATATTACACGGATTCTTCTTCTCCTACTGACTAGTGATTATTCTTAATATTCAAAGATTTATTCCTTTGATCGACTATTTCCTCCTTTTCTTTCAATGTACACACAGCTCTTATTACACGAATATCGAATGAGAATCGTGTGGATCCAGATCAAATCGGTGGATATTTAATCAGTTTAGATTATAATGAAATAATACAAAGTGGTTCAGAATGGAGAAGTCATTTAGCTGATGCAATGTGTGGTGCGCCTACAGTGAATCATCTACCGCACCGTTTCTATTTACCAGCGCCTAAACTTGGTACAACAAGACAATCGTCTATCCATCATCATAATGACAATGATAATAATGCCGATGACAGCAGTCTATTCAATAAAGGCATATTGGCTACATTTATACTGAGAATAAAAGATATTGGTTTAACTAAATCAAATGTAAATATGAGTAAGTTAGTTTGTTCAGTTCTTTTTTTGGAATGTTTGTGTGTATTTTTGTAAAACTTCATGCGTTATCTGTTTATTAGGTTCGTTAAGATTAGTTTGTCTGGCCCCTAGATTATTGTTTTTAATAGAACTCATCTAAAACTGTGCTCTTGACCGTATGTGAAGGTGTGGGTCTTCGGGTCAAACATTCACTTAACAGCCTATAGGTTTGCATTTCGAGCCCCAATATGACCTACTTCAGTCTCAATGACTGGGCAGTATTATCAGCTCTCATATGATAAACGTAGCTCTTACTTGAGCACTTGAAATATCTCTTCTGATTAATTGATTTCAAATAAACAGTTCAGTGTGTTTGACCACTTTGTTTTAGCTTATATTACTCATTAGGTAAACTGTATTAAAGGCTAATCGCTTAGATGATTCATCATGAAATCCTCTGAGAAAAATAAAAGTAAGGTGTCGGTTGTCCAATGGTATGGCATGATGTCCAACTATGCTGTAGCTGGTCTGGGTTCGATTTAATGCCTGGGGTACTCCAGAATCTCACTTAGCCACTGGTAATTTTCCTAATGAAAAGGGAAGGTATGTTATGATAAGTTAAAGACGTTATAACTAATGAATATTACCATTGTTCCCTCAGGTTTTAAATGGAACACAGGGTTTCAGCAACACGTTACCATTTCACACGGTTTTCTGCAGTCTTTTCTTGTCAAGTCTACAGTCGCCCATAAGCCTTCATTTCCTACTCACCCAATCTCTCCCATGTTACTTTCTGACCCATGTCGAATTCGTCGCTTCCTATTGAAGTTTCTCTAGAGGGCCTAGCAGTTAATGCTAATCAACAGTTTCCTCTGTGTATATCCACTCTATCCATCTCCATTATCTTCTACATATATGTCAATAGATAGTTTCTGAGTATGCTCGTTAGCTGCCAGGATTTGTCGGTACTTAATCTTGCTAGCCCGCCATTTGATTTTCAGTGTCATCCAGTGAAGACAGCTGTTTTCCTCCTCCCCAGCTGTGCTTCTGGAGGAGTTCTGTCTAATTATGTTATTATACTTAACTACTGATTGTTTATGAGTACATAGATAAATCCCTTAAACTTATAGTTCATTTGTGTAAGATCGAACCTAACTGCCTAATACATCTGAAAAATAACCAAGATGACATAAGGGGTTTTTCAAAAAAGAATTACTCGATATAGATATTGTGTTTCTTGACGCACATCAAAAAGATGTGCTCATAACCCTAATGGAACTGATATCTCGTCAGAGGTAAGTTATATCGAATTATTCAAACTTTAGCTACTTCTTTAAACAATGAGCCTTAAACACGGACGGAGACCATTGTATTAATTATTTAATATCCCTTTGGGTTCCGTGTGGAACATAGGGCTTCAGCAACACATCTTCACTTCGTTCTATTTTCTGCTGTCCTCTTCGGTTGGGCCCACGATTCCCAATAGTTTTTTATCTCTTCTTCACCACATGATCTCCTTCATGTCACCCTGGGACAACCCACTTGTTGCTTTCCATTTGGATTTCACTCTAAGGCCTGGCGCGCGATGACAACTGTACCTCACAGGTATTCTGTGTCGATTTTAGTCTATTCACCAATTTGTTGAAGATTTGAACTCAGCAGTGCTCTTCCACGATGCCATGTGGGATCAAATACTGGGCTTCTAAGCTGACTAAGCAAGTCTGTTGACTATTATGCCAATGTACTGAAATCCAATGACCGGCAACCCGAAGATGATGAGTTCGATCCCCGGTGAGGTCATCGCGATTGCACTATGTTAAAGCATCCCACAGCTAACCGGTGCTCCATGGTTTTCGAGTGTCGGTCCTTAATGACATCTCAAGTGAAACAGTGATATTATTGATCATAAAGAATCAACTTTCTCGAATCCGAATAAAACAACTACGTGATTATATCATTAACTTTCAAAGTATTAATTCGAATTTAAAATGTGAACAATGGATTTTGAAAAAAATATCTGTCACTAAATCGTAGATCCATGCATACCTGTAAAGAAATTCATGGAGAGTGAAATGAACTTTTCTGGGTTCATGTAGTGTCCTTTATTGCGATGATACCTTAGTCTCGGTCATATACAAGTATGTAACAACATGTTTTCGTCTGTGAGGTAACAAATAATTCTCTCGTGAATGTGAAATACGCTGTCTGTGAAACATGTCAGGAGAATGTACCAACCGTTATTTAGCCACGGTTATGAAAGATTATTGGCTGTCTACCCCAGCGAGTCAAGAGGTAATGGACAACTTTTTGTCCTGGTTTAGGAGTCTTCAGTAGCAACGACCTATTATCCTGCCGATGGTCAAACGCAGGACCTTCAGGTTGTCCAGAGAGTCCATCTGTTACTCAGCCACTGAGACAAGATCCAGTGGAGCAGTGAGTAAAATCTATGATCAGCAAATTGGTCTTGATGCCAACAAGATGAAACCCTCCAATCAGAGAACATGTAGAGTGAGAGAATGCAATTGGAGGTCACTTACGCTTTCCTTGATTAATAGATTTTGGTTTGTCAACATCAGGACAAATCATCAGATTATTGCTTCTGTTTTCTCTGTCATCCGATAGCCCATGAATCCTAACTTTTGCCAATTCTCGATATATGGCAACGCCGAGTGTTAATATCATAGACGGGCGTTTATCCTCGCACCCCAATTGGTCACAGCTAATCATTAGAACTCCAGGCAACTTCATTCGGTCGTCAGTAATCAGTTTACATTAGATCTAACTAACACCTGAAAAATGAGAGTATATAAAATATTACATAACAGTAACATAAGATAATAGGCGTTATAGAAAAGACCAAACTGACTGGTTGCCTGCCAGTCAAAGTAAGCACAGAGTAGAAAAGTTGACTGGTCATTTCACGAACTAGATGTTCAACCAATTAGTCGACTTCAAATTCATTTCTTGAAGGTTTACGACTTGAAGTGGTTGACTACTATGACGATTAAAATCACCTTATGACGGCGCCTACAGTAGAATATTGACATTTAATGAAACTCCTATGAAAATTCACTGAATATATTTCCCTATTACCTGAGACATATTGTTATGGTATTCAATGTGATCAGTAGATGTGCATTGGTAGAAGACAAGAGACTTGGTAACGTAATGCGTATTTGGAATTTGGTATTTTTATACAAGGAAATTAGGTAAACCTTATTTGAAAATCGTTATCTGCACAGATCTTCCGTGTTGTTGCCACTTCTGCCCTTCGTATTGTATTTATTTGTCTTCTTTTCGTGTCTCCCGTGTTCTACCGCAACACTGGTTCATTTCCTCCCTTTGACGTTGAATCTATCTCTCCACTGTTTGATATTTTTATGCTGATGAACTTCTCTTTATATAATACTAGTACACGCCGCAGATAGCGTGGGATTAGAATCCTCCACCCACTGGATGATAATCGAGAGCTTATGTCACTAAAGAATATTTTTAAACAATTATACTCATACATATATATTATATGCATAGAAAATACTTGCGGGAGTAAATCATCTTCGAGAAATAAAACACACTTAAGAATCCTTTAGTTATTCCCCTAGAGCAAAATACCAATTCGTGTCTACATTTTGTAGCACTTGAATGTATGTATATACACTTGGCAGTGAACAGATTATTCAAGATAGTAGTAGGCTTTAAGATTACTTTAATCCTCTCCATTGATGAAACCGTGTAGGTCCAATCTTGAAATGGATGAGTCAGTAGAAAGTGCTGATACAACGTACTGCAGTAGAGACACTCAGAAGTTCATAAATGCATGCAGGAAAAGATCTTTTAGACATAGACAGTTCGAGAGTAGATTTTTTAACTGTACGGTGATATCCTCTCAAGTAAATGGTTTCAGAGGAGGAGAGAAACAGATCGGACAAACTGTCATCAAGTCCTTTCGGTTGGTGATGAGTAGCAGTGTAATACAAGATACACATTTCGTCTTATTTGGAGGCCGTCATCTGGATTTACCTGCAAGCCTCAGTGATTCGTGGTATTCCTACTAAGGCTCGAACCCTGCACCCATCGTTTCAAATATAAAAGCATTACTCACCAGACTACGAGAGCTATCTCTTGTACAAAGGATATCAAAGAATTAACTGTCACCCAAATGTTCACGTAAAATGCAGAAGTCTAAGATGAGGTTGTCCTTCAGCCACTGATAGGAAAGACAGAATACATCTAATGGAAGGTTTGGGAATTCTTTAAATCATTCTTAATATGTCTACTTCATATTCCACATACTGATTTTCTCCCTTGCGCTTATACTCTAAATGAAGTTCAATATAGATTGGGTCTGATATAGGAGATATATCAACGTCAAAATTTAGAAACATCTAGAGTATTCGAAAAAATATTTGTAGACGCCACTCTACAATTTTATAAAGTTTTCAGATCACGTAGTTGATAATTACTCCTAAGTGCATAAACCAAGTAATCGTAGAGTTCGCATAATGTTATACGCACTGGTAGGCTAACTAAAATCCTGACAACGCAATAAGAAGACGCAGTTTATCTGAAACGTGTAATGTATTTGCGGAACACATTTCGGACATTCTGATCACACACATACTTGACATACACAGTTTTATGGAAAGCAAAAAGGCATGAATCATTAAAATACAGGTCAAATTGTATATGAGTCAAGGTCACAAATAATGGCCAGGGAGATGACGCAAAGGTGTGGGGAAGAAAGGAAAAACAAAGCGAAGACGGTGCTGGAAATATTATGAAGTAAATTGATCCTTGGTTCTAAATTGGATTACCAAGGCTGGTTAAAAGTAATAACAACTAACTTTCGGACATATAAGACAGGTTTTAGTCTTTTTATGGCCGAGGCTTCAACGAAATTAAGTATGTAGCCCAACCTTGTTTTATATATGGGCTTAAAGGCATTGTTGAAATCAACCTTATAAGAGTCTCCATATTGCGCTTCGCTAGAGATGATGTTGGACATCTATTTCCTAGGTCAAT